AGATATTGATTGATAAAGGATAGGCTTGGGTGTAAATGCTAAAGTTAAAGAAAAATCTGTCAACATCAGATTACTGTTGCTAATTCTAACTTTAGAAATGACCTTTGGTCTTATGGTTTTATGTTTGTCTAATGGATATATAAATTGATTATGACTTTAGATCAGTTAAACTGTAAAAGTGTCTTTGAAATTAAAAGATTCGGCCTGCAGTGTGTAATAGTTACATATTATTATTTAAGTCATATTTTTGGACAATATTTTTAGGCAAATTTTGATTTTGAAGTCCCATGTATGCTCCCACAGTCCAGCAGAGATTTCTACCATCAGCTACTTTGGGGGCAAAACGTAATCTTTACACTAAAGATTACCTAAAATGTTCTTGAAATCCCTATTAAACACTAAAGTGTGAGCGGTTTGGGCTCTAGTGACACAAAAAAAAACCCAATCAAAAAAGTCTCCATCTATTCTTAAGTCAAACATAAACATTTTACTTGGTAGAAAAGTAACAGAATTATATTAAGTCTATCTTCTTCTACCGCAGTGTAATCCATCATGAAAAGCTGCATCTTGTTGTTTGGAAGAGAACTTTATAATGTAAAATGATGATGTTTATTCTTAAAAGTTCATTTTGAGCAGACAAAACATGAGATCTACAATGGAAACTGTTTCAGTATTTTACTTGAAGACATTTTAGGTCTAAACAATATTCTGATTGACTTGTTAAGATGTTCGTATCTTGTTGTGTAGTGTCTTGTGATGTGATCATGTAGGCAAGCCATGACAAGCAGCGTCTCCGCATCAAGCTCCCAGGCAGCCTGAGCAGAGGCACATTCTTTCCCCCCCAGTGGACTTGCGTTGTTTAATTGGTTAAGTTGTGGCTCTAAATCAGATGAGGCATTTCATCTCGAACTTTGATAATTAATTATGTTTGCTGGCGCTGCTAAGTCTGGTCTATAAAAAGACACGTTTAATGCGGTCTAACTAACCTGGATTAGATTTGAATTAGTGCCTCGTGGTTGTAGGCCTTCAGCAATCAGTCAAGTTACCGTTTATATCCATGTCTGTCCAGACTTATATAATACATGTGGCGAAGACTTTTAATTGTTTTAAGTTCGCTGAAACAAACAAAAAACAAAGTCCAATACAAGCTGATAAGGCTTGTAAATATGCTGTAAATATGAAATATGAATATGAATGTTGCTGCAAAGAAGCTACATATTGTAAAACGTGGCTGCTTCACACACATCCTGATGTCAACAGCACAGAAGATCTCTACAATCACCATAGTTTCATCATAGGCATCCAGGATTAGTGTCAACAATTTCATTCCTGATTTAAGGTGTTAAATAATGACAAGAAAAGTGTTTCTGGAGAACACCGTGAAAGCAGTTTACTTTTTACTTTTTGGATATCATCCCTTCATCAGTCTCTCCTTCAAAAAAATTGTGACCACCAAATTCTAATCATTTCACCTTGAAGTCCAAGTAAACGCTTGTGCCAGATGTAATAAAGTTCCTTAACCTTTAAATGACAAAAATCTAGTCAGCTGATCCTCGAGTCCGAATAGAATAGAATAGAATAGAATAGAATAGAATATCCTTTGTTTGTCCCACAAGGGGAAATCTGCAATGTCACAGCAGCAAAGTGACAGTAAGCAAAGCAAGCAAACAACTATAAATTAAAGAGGTGAGGTATATGTACTATATATACACTGTATAAATAAGAAAAACAGAGGAACACAAGGATACTACGAACAGAAATTTAAGAATATTTACATGTCTACATGAATGAATTGCACTTCAGTGGATTGCACAAATAAGTACTTGTCCCAAGATTAAAGAAATTCCTTGTAGGTGTTCCTAAGATGTTACATTTACCAGAATGGGACAGATGAGAAAACAATGCAGCATGGAGGGAAAATAAAACAGTGATATAGTTGTCAAGAATTACAGTGAAAGTACAGAGTAGAAAACATGTGACTGGGACACGGCATTCAATTACCCTTTAAAAAAAAAAAAGTAAATTGTTGTTCACCTACAATTTGTACCTTCAAGAGTTTTTGCACTGCATGTGATCAAAACCTTTTGTCAGACAAAACGTGTCACCTGATCCATTAGTTTAAGAGTGTACAGTCTCACCAGCAGCTCCGCCATGCTGTTTTTATACCAATGATCCTTTAAGTTAAACTCAGCGTGCTAACATGCTCACAATGACAATGCTAACATGCTAATGATTAGAAGGTATAATTTTAACCAAATCGTCCATCTTAGATTAGCACTGTAGATGCTTACATTTGCCAACTAGCAAATGATCACATTTCATCCTAACAGAGATATGAGTATGTATTTCATATTTCACAGCAACCCGTCAAATAGTTGTTGAGGTATTTCATTAACAACACAAATGTGGCTGTTGTGATGGTGCTGGAGTAAAAATCAGGGTGTAGAGCGTAAACATATTTTCAAAGTTTCCTAAGCCGTCCTTGCTACTAAGATTCCCTTTAAGTCTGAGAACTCACCACTGCTAATGTTATTCCTCTACTGGAAAACACTTTGGCTCAGTGTTTTAAATTTGCTATTTGAGTAACAGTAAATTGGCTGGACTTCCTTTAACAGATCTCTCCACTCTGTGCCTTTCTGGTAAGCACCTAATCCCCTCGGCTAACATGTATGAATCACCTGATACATTCACAGCAGCTGTTGGGCTTGCAGATGTGAATGAGACTGCATGGAAGTCATGCTCATCCACCACTAGGGCAGTGAGGGAGGATTTGTGGATGGTATAGTGGTCCATGGCCTGACATCTTCCCACAATAAATGCCTGACAAGTGCTCACACGTCTCCCCAAAATTCACCCCAAGCAAGGAGAATGTGGTGGTGGACCTACACTTGCATGCCAACCCAAGACTGACCCAAATCCCATCTTGTTGCTTTACACCTGCAGTTAACCCATTGTGAAGGTGAACTGGTGCTACAGGAACCTTGTATGGCTGACAATGACAAGTACATAGAGAATCTAGTTAAAGACCGTTAAAGACTGTCAGTGGGCAAACTGGTCCATCAGCAACACCACTGTTGCAGCCAATACAGTCTCCAACCAGTTCTTGGGAGCACATCCAGGTGGACGTATGTAGGGCACTCCGTTGCGCTAGTTGTGGTGGGATTCAGTGTCCATTCTAAATAGCCATGGGGGGTCAACACAAGATCACTTACAACCTGAGTGGTCACAGACATCCTCACTTCTTTATTTACCAGGTAGGGATTCGGGTTCATAGTTTTCTTCAGCTGAGTTTGCACAGAGACAGGTTTGCTTTTTTCCCATTTCCAGTTTCTGTGCTAAGCTAACCAGCTGCTAGAGAGCTGCATCACTCTTCTAATGCTGCATGTAAAGTAAATAAGCAGTGAAGTAAATGGGCACATTTCCCAAAAATGTCGACAACTTTAAGCAGCATCGAGCTGTATCTAATTTCACATAGATTTTAAAAAACGATTTTTCTCTATAAAATTTAACCTACTCATCTTGTATCCGTGAGACATTCCAACATCACATGGTTGGATTTACCCATATGAAGCGTCTTGTACTCGTAAGCCTGCATAGGAACCTGTGGATTCGATGATTAGCTTGTCTAGCACAAATAATTACTCATGTCGCCTTTGTTTGGAAGCTTTGCCAGAAACAACATTTTTTCACAGAAAACTTCTCATTATAATTTTAAAAATCGTGACTCTCTGTCGCACAGACATCTTAACATCATAAGATAACACTACCAACTGAATGTGTGAATTGGTTTCACTGCTAGAGAGTGCTAATGTAATGCGTCTTGCCATCTTAACTCCACTCTTGTGACTGTATTGTATTGCGATGTCAAGACTGAAATGAGGGAAAGAGATTAATTACAAATTACTGAGGACTATAAACACTATGAATGATTCTAGTGGTTTCATGTATAGACTGCTCAAGGCTTTCCCAGCTTCTCAATCAATTGATTGTTGATTGTCAGAGAAGTAAACTCTGGCCATAAGTGAGCATAGAAAAAAAAACAAAACGCATGAATAATGGTCCTCTATGTTTTAGCCGACAAAAGCAATTTGGGAATTTTACAGATTGTCACACACACAGGCTGATATATTGATGCCCTTAAATGTATTCCATTTTTTTCGCACCTTTATATAAAAACGGAGGCTCCCCATTGGTTGAGTCTCACTCCACCCTCCGCCTCCTTTCCCCTGGTTTCCCGGGCAACCATGGGGAGGAAAGGGTGGAGGAAAAGAGCAAATCATATGAGGGCAAAGCATCTTTTACTGTCTCTCCCCCACCCCTCTCTCCACTCTCTCTTGCTCTCTCATTCTCTCTCTCAGTGTGTATAAAAGCCTCTCTCTCCATGCTTTCACTTCACTCTGAGCTCTCCATTGGTTTGCAGGGAGGACAGACGCAAGACTTGAAGACAGAGGAGGGGGGCTACGACCAAAGGAGATCCCTGGGAAGTCATTTCTTTGACCTTCCCTCTCTTTTCTGTCTCCCTCTCTCTCTCTCCTCTCTCCCTTTACTTTTCCCTCTGTTCCCAAATGTCTGGCGGGTTTCCCTTCTTCCCTCTCTGTCCTTCTACTTATTAAGCGTCTCCGCTCTGCTTGGACGGTGGCTGCATCGATGCAAAATGGGTTGTGGCAATTCCTCAGCCACCAGCACCTCAGGAGGGGGTAAGTGTTTCAGGAATCTCAGTGTGTATCTGACTGTGTGTGTCATAACGGGTGAATGTGTGTGAGCGGGTGAGAGAAAGAGTTGTCACTGTATCAGCACCGAGGGGAGAAGGTGTTTTGAATATAAATGAAGTGTGTCAGGGTTACCCTTGCATTCAAGTGTACGCCTGTTTGTGTGTGTTTGTGTGTGTGTGTATGTGTGTGTGTGTGTGTGGCTTGATTTCATTCATAAAATCAATCGACAGCTGTATATCATAACAACTGTGTAGTGAAATAATTGTCTAAATATTTCAGTGTGTGTTTGTGTGCATGTGTGGTGGTCTCCTAAAGCCATGGGTGGTGGATCGATCATGAGGGGTCTCCCATATTCTAATGTAAGACATCAGAGTAGCCTGAGGAATGTACCACTTTTGATCACGACACCGCTGCTGTGATGTCTTACATTGATAGTTTTTTTTTTTTTTTTTTTTAAGTTTGTGTGTTTTTTTCTTTCGGTGTGTTTGGCCTGTTTCCAAGGGTTTCTGGGAATGAAAGAGAAGCATTTTCAATGACATTCACCCATCTTTGTCTCCCCACTTGACTGATGCAGGTAGTGTCCTATAAGCAGACAGCACGGAAATACCTAATCAGGTTTCATTCATAAAGGCTGGAAGATGTGTTTAAATGGTGAAAATTCTTTATCATGTGGTTTTACCAACACTGTGGCTTATCCTCAAGTAACGCACAAGTTGATTTAGGCTGAGACAATACACGTTCTAAATTATACTGAGTAACTCTCCGGGCACCACAGTCAAATTGGGGTAATAATTAGATTGAAGTATCTGCAGGATTACCTCACCACCGTTGTCCATTAAAGCAGCGTATTTGTGCTTGTGTAAATGTGTGTGTGTGTGTGTGTGTGTGCTTGCAGGTACCTAATCAGTGCTTGCCAGGCATGTTAACAGAACCACAGCCAGCTGGGAAATGCAACCCAGTGCTGTTTGTTGATTCAAATGTGACCCTCTGTACTTTGAGGTTACGCTGGCTGCAAACACCATTGAAGTAGGTGCCTGAGTTGGCTGTAAGCGTGGCTTGTTTGTCTACAAAGGACAGCAGCTGTGTTTAGTTCTGTGCAGCAGACCTTATCCATGTTTTCTGCTCCTTCTTAGAGGTCAGTGTTCAGCAATGTCAAGGACATGTGACATCTTGTCAATCTGACAAATGTGGACGACTGGCTGCACTCATTTGTCCGTACCAGCTGACACCAGGCCAGAGTCAAAGGACACTGTTTTCTTCACTGTTATTTTCTTTCAAATGAAGATAGAAGCACTTCATGCTCTTGTTTCATACTATTTTAATCTAAAATAAATAATTCTGCCTTAACGCCTTTTTAATTTTAGATTTTGTCATCTTAACCTCCCCTATTTATAATTTAGAAACAATATATAAACACTTAATGGTTTATAACTCACAATAATGTATTTGTAAGCAGACAACTACATCCCCTTCCAGAATCTGTGGATAACGTCTGACTTTGCCCTGATAATAGATGTCCAAAAAAACTGTATTTCTATGTGTCTTTTAGAATTATTCTTTTAAAAAACCCCCACAAAAATCCTAAACAGACAAAGAAAAACAAAATAATAATCCAACCCTATACATTATGCATCAACATTAATCTGTATAGTTCCTCTTAGACAAGGATGTTTAATATTAGATACATAGAAATTGATATATATATGAGTAGATATTTGTCTGTACAGTTACATAATGGTGTGTTGTAAACCATGCTAAATGGGAGGATTAAATTCACATGTTACCATGTCTTTGAAGTTGGTTGCTTCCTGGAGATAACCAAGCCATAACCTTAGCCCAGGTCATTCAGGAAAACACAAAGTCAAGTCATACAAGTACACTCCAGCTTCAAGCTTTGGTCTTAACAAACTCAAATGACTGTGTTCTATGTCACATTACTTGTTTCTAGTCTTGTGCACCCAGATGTGCCCCCTTGGATATGAATGAGCTTTTGTCAGACCACTGAATAGGCCCCTGTGTCATATCAGCAGACTCGAAGATGCACCGTGACAGGCCTTTCCTTCCACAAGGAGAAAATTTACCGTATTTGTGTGTAATGTAGATTCTCCAGTTTTCGCTCAGTAGCACGTGATTCTTGTAGTGTTCTTTTCAAGGTACATTTGTGTGCTGATACGGTGAGGTGTGGCGTGAAAAAACCGATTGAAGTGCAAAAGTGAGGAATTTGTTCCTCTGTTGTTGTCGGTGTGATACTGTACTTTCAAGAAGGAAGTTAGATTATCCTCCAGCTGAATGTATTATGATCTCATTACGATTCAAATCAAGCTCTGTAGACTGCCTGCGGTTCAGCAGAGAAGGAGCTGTTGTCGGTCCATAAAAGAGTCAAACAGCACTGGGATGAGCACGATGGGGTCTCTTTGGAATTGAGGCATGTTAGACTGTATGCTTGAAGTCATTTTAACAGTATGGCCTCTCTTACCCTTCAGATCGAGTTTAATAACTAAGAATTCTACTGTGTAGAGAGTATGAGTGGTGTACTGTAGATATTGACAACCGTTACTGAATAGATTGCAATCATTTTTAAATTGAGTAAAAGTGGCAATACCCCAAAAATATTGCACTCAAGTGCAAATGTTGCTCACAGATTTTAATGGTAATTGCATCATTGTTTGTGTTTTGTTCTGTTTGTATGACTATTCTCGTTGAGAACGGTGTATTCTGAAAACTATTAGGATCGACCATTTGAAACTAAAGAATGTGAGATGTTGCACATGTTTATGTGTTTATATGTTGCATACTTGCTTCAGTAAAAATACACACTACATCACTATAACACCAAAAATGGACTGATGATACAAAAGGTTATCTTGTTCATCCTGGAAAAGTGGTTATGGCTTTGGTAATAATCAAGAGACACAAGCCCATTTCTGAAGTCTTTGAGGTGGTGTGTAACCATAATCTGCACAAAAAGCTGAAAAGAAATACCCATACGCTGCAATATTTGTCCCAATACATTTTTTTATTTTATTTTATTTGATATACCAGGGACATATTTTAATCATAAATGGTCTTCCAAGGGTAAACAGAAACATTTGGACAAGACCATTTGTGGTCTAAACTTAAACTGAACTAATATCCATGAATTGTGTTTTATTCTTACTATGACTTACCTTAATCTGGAAAATACTAACCGCAGATATCTGATCAATGTTGGAGAGTGAAATGTATCTTCTTTTGCAATGTAGTGGACAAAAAGTTAATTAAAATAAAATAAGAAAATATAATGCCAGTTGGTAAGTGGTTAAGTTTGTGTCCAGTCTTTATGCTAAGCTAAACTACTGCTGGGTGTAGATCTCCTTGTCTAAATCTACTGAAAGCAAAAAGGCACATTTTCAAGTCTCCACATATGAATCTTGTATCCAAAGGTATTTTATTGGCATTAAAGCCTCAAGAAACAATACTGCTAAACAGAAAAATACTACTTGTCCTAATATTTGGCCAGCGCACAATAACAGTAATATGAAAATTAATAGAACATTAACATCAATCTAATAATTCTGTAAGTTCTGTATATCTTATATATGTGTGTGTTTGTATGTCTCAGTCATTCATTATGTATCAGGTAGATTTCATGCTTGTTAAAACCTCATGTGTCAGTATTCTGGTTAAGACCAGGAGGGCTCACCTCGACACCTCTCTAAAATACTAACAGTTGAGGGTTCACTATTATCACTCTGACTTATTAAAGGAGCCCCTAAACTAACTGATTTCTCTTAGTTCAATGGGATAAGTGTGATGTATTATATAGCAGTGGTTGTTTGTTGTCTTTGCTCATGCATGCAACCACCAAGCATTTCATTAGAAACACCACACTGGTACTGGGCAGGGCCTCGGTGTCAGCTCTTAGTGGCGTGGATTCCGCAAGATGCTTGAAACATTCCCTTGAGATTTCGTTGGATGTTAACATGATTGCATCACATCATTTCTGTGGATTTGTCAGCTGCACATTCATAGTAGAAATATCCCAGCTCACCACATCCCAAAGGTGTTGTATTGGATAAAGATCAACTGGGGGGGAGGATCTAAGACGTCCAATGAAACACACTGTCATGTTCATGAAACCAGTTTGGGGTGACTTTGACTTTGTGACATGGTGCGATATCGTGCTGGAAGTAACCATTACAACATGGAAAGCTGTGACCATGAAGTACCAATACACAAATAGACTATGACATTCAAACGTGACTGATTGGGATAAAGTGTGCCCAAAGTGTGTGAAGGAAAATATTCCCGACACCATTACACCTCCACCACCAGCAGCTGCCTGGACTTTGACACAATGCAGGTTATGTCCATAGGTCCATGTCCTACATTACATCGCGCTGCATTATTGGCTGATTGGATAACTGCATGGACAGGCAGGTGTACATGTATTCCTCATAAAGTGCAAAGTCAATGTTGGATGACACTGAATGTAACCATACAGGGAATAACTGTTGGTTAGGCAACATACCTCCTTCAGTACATTTCATAATGAAAGTGAATTAAATTTGCTCTTTTCGTCTGTTCTCAGGTCCAGCAGAAGCCTCCAAAGATGTGTAAGTACATAAGTCATTTTCTAATTACTTAAAGTATTAATGAGGGTCATTATCTGTGGCCTCCAGGTTTTGTACATTCACATCACACTTACAAAATGAGCTCAGCAAGTATTTAGGTCCACACTGACTTTGCACATTTTATATCTGATAGTAAAAGTTTGTAAAAAGCATTGCTAGTTCAGATTGAAAGAGTTGCTGTAAAACTAAATGATACTGGCAGTGACTAAGTATTTTTGGCATATTGAAGACGGACAGTAAACGAATACTCAGCATCATGTGAAATAAATACACAGAAAACATTCATCGTTGTTCTATTGCTTCACATACGAACATGATTGATTGATACTAAAGGCTCTTTTCTTCATGGCCTACAAGACAAATTTGATTTGGAAACATGCATGTCTGTGTAAGCGTCAACACACTGTGTGAAGTAAAATGAAGAATGCTGTAATGATATTTACAAATGGTCCTGAAAAACACCAAAGTGACTGTAAAAATAATTTTATAAAAAAAACTGACAGTGAAAGAAATGAATAGATATTTTTGTTTCATTTAGTCACATCATTCTTTTGGTGAAAAAAAAAGTTTCCTCTGGCTTTAAAATTGTGTCAGTTCAGACCTTTATGTTTTTCTCTGAAGTGTCACACAGAGGATGGTTTGTCCTTTGCCATCTACAAATAGCATTTATCAAAGCAGAGGGAGGGGCTGCATTTCTAAAGCATTTCCTGGAAACATTGTGTGTGTGTGTGTGTGTGTGTGTGTAGGTGTGTGTGTGTATACTATGTCTCAGCATGTGTGTGTGTGCTCCTGATAACCATCTGAGCAGCCAGCACAGGACCCACGAGAGCTGACAGTAGAGCACTGACTCACTGAAGCTAATCACTGCTTCCTACGACTGTACAACCCAGCAAAATATCATACACACACACGCACACACACACACACACACACACACACACACACACACGCACACGCACACGCACACACACAAATTGAGAGAGAAGAGTTTACTAGTATTTGCAAAACACAAGCTTAAGGGATTAATGCACCCCCAAAACTCAATACATGCCGCTCTTTTGCTGGAAAAGCTCCTACACACAGTGAATAAGGTGTTGCAGCTTCATGTCAACTTCATGTCAGCCCTTAACAACTGAACGGCAACAAACCTGAAACCATTGGAAACCGTTTGTTCAGTAGTCTAACTGAAGACCTGAAAGGAAAATTGCCAATTCAACCTGCCTCATCATCGGTCGTTTCCAACAGGATATTATCAGGCCGAAGCAGTGTACCACACGTGATTTACAGCCTGGCAAAAGCTGCAGTGTTCTCTGATTGTCATTATTTTTGTATGTCCTCTGTGCTGCTATAAGAGCTCACCTGACCTGTGCTTCTTTTCTCAATCAGGACAGAAGATCCCTCAGCAGAAGATGAGAAAAGAAGGTATCTTGTCAGTGCTTTCTAAATAATTTGCTGCAATTATCATTTAAATGTCCTGAATGCATTTTAATACGAACAATATTTTCTTGCCATCGCTGCAAAAATACTATTCTTTGTTTTGTAGTACGCAGATTATGAAATGTGAATAGTAAAGGTTTTTGTTTTTTTCATGGAGGACATTTTGACGTGTCACAGTCGGAAAAGCTCAGGTGTGAACAACAAAATGAATGTTGGCAGAATTCCATTTAGCGGGTGGTTGCCTTACTGGGACATTGCTAATGATATTAGTAACGCTTTTCCTTCTATGACTGGTAAAAATCAAATAAATCTTAGCGATAGTTGTTATGAATCAGCATTATTATTACCAGTGTTTCCAACAGTTGTAGTTGATAACAACAGGTAATAAATCATCTGTTCTGAAACTCCAGCATTACGCTATTAGCAGCTTTATCCCATAGAGGGGCTGGATTCTATCCTAGCTGGCATTTGGCATGAGGCAGGGTACATCCAGGGCAGGCTGCCAGTCCGTAACAAGACAAAATTCACCTTCTGAAACTTCAATCTTAAAATCCCTGTTCTTTATAAACAGGAGAAAATTCCCTTTTTCTTTGTGTATCAAACATCCTAATGTAATGATGTAATGACTTTTTAAAATGCAAATCTCAAAGATAAAAAAAAGCAAAGCTCACAGAAATACTTGTCACATGTGTAACAATATAAGTGTTATTATCCAAAGCCTATTATGGTAAGAAAAAAAAAAGGCTTCCAAGAGCAGCTATTATGCCGAAATCTACCAAAACACAAATCAATCCCCACCATGTTTTTCAAATGCTGCCTGGCTTTTCTTCTCTTCTCTTCTCTTCTCTTCTCTTCTCTTCTCTTCTCTTCTCTTCTCTTCTCTTCTCGTCTCGTCTCGTCTCGTCTCTTCTCGTCTCGTCTCTTCTCTCAGGAACTATGGTGGTGTATATGTAGGTCTCCCAGCAGACCTGACCACTGTGGCTGCTAGTCAGTCCAAGTCTTCACGTAAAGGTAAACATCTTCAACACTGTATAAGTCACATGAATTTTAATGGCATTGTGTGCAGCAAAAGTGTGGGCTGTAATAAGATGGAAGCTCTGACGGTGATGGGCGTCTTGTAGCGAAGCATCTCAGGATGTACAGAGGAATAATCTCCCTGGTGGTTAAGCCACCCTCCTGTGAAACCGCATCGCCTGCAGCATCTTTGGTTTAATTTGACCTTTATGTTTTACTTAGTATTAATGAGAAGCATTCTCTTTGCTATACCTATGGGCGTACTCATATCTGGAAAGACAAATGTACATAGTGTACGGCAATTATTACGACTGAGACAATGTCCATTAAATAGATTTTTAATTAACATGTGCTTTATAAAGGTCAGTTCATTTCTTATCGATTATTCTGAAATATTGCATGTTTACAAACATTCACAACAGTCTCATTTATTGTCTCTGTTTGCAAAGTGTACAGTTAAAGTGACTATTCATTTATGTAATGGAAAAATGCATAGTAAGCTGTAGTGTCACCAGTATTAAGAAGTTATAGTAAACAGACTTTGCTCTTGTATGTCGATGTCCTGAAGGCTTTCTTCTTGTATGCTTGTCCTTGTGTTCACTGGGGTTAAATATAATAATGAATTGATTTGTTTTTGTATCCTCTGGCACGAGAAGTATTGGCTCTTGTTTTCACTGAAGTCTCGCAGTTCAAACTGCTTGGTGGAGTGCGTGGGTGTTTTTGAACACGGTGTTGACAGTGACACAGAAACACCAGAAAAGAACAAAGAAAAATACATCAAATCATTGTCCCTATAATTATCTGGGCACTGAGTTTGCTTTTTTTCCTCCTTTTTGCAGACTAGCAGCTACTGAAGGGACCACAACACAGGTACCTGTACAAAAAAAAATAAAGAAATGCTGCTTGCTCTGATTGTGACATTACTTGCTCTTTTTCATCTAAAAATGAATAGAAGGTGGTGTAAAGACTCACATGAAAGCTACTGTCTTTTTTTTGTTTTCAGGACAAAAACAGGATCCTGAATATTCATTCACCTATAGACACACATCACAAGCAGAGAGCATGTAAGCGCTCTGATTCTGGCTCACCAGGCTTTAACACCGAGCGGAAGATGTGGACAGCTTGCAGGGGCTCAGAGGACACCACCTCATGGAGTCATGGGTGGCACAGTGACGCAGGGATGCGCAGTGGAGGTCTGCATATTGCATCCATCATCACTCTTCACGTTCCAAAAAAAGAGAGGAAAAAAAGTCCTAGACTAGCACCCACTCCGGGACTGGCAGCTGTGGGCGGAGGCAGCGGGCATTGTGACAGCCATCTTGGCTTCTCGGTCACATCACTGGAACATTCTCTTTCTCAGGAGGAGACGGAGGATCCGGCCAACTTACTAACTAACTGTGTGGGGACTCGTGCACACTCCCAATCGCCCTCTGCAATAATAATCACTGCTCAGTTTTTTCTCCAAGACGCCATCAATGATTCATTGTGTGGCAAAGACGAAGAGCATTAGAGAGACAGAGATAAGTCAAGAGTTTCAGAGACAGCACCAAACACATTCCTAATGCATGACAGAATATCTCGGTGTTATTGAAAGGAGCATTGATTGCAATCAGGGACCCGCTGCTGCAACAGAAAAGACTGCGATGACACTGAGTTAAATCAAGAGGGTTGTAAGTGATGTTCCTAAATGTCCTGGGTGCACCAACCAGGTCATACCTGGTGTTGTCACTTAAGTTGTACCCCAGACTGATTATGTAACATCAGCTTATGAGTCATGATACTTAAAGGAGCTCTCTCTTTCTGTCTGCCTTTTTCGCTCTCGCTCTCTTTCTCTCGCTGGCTCTCTCTTGCAGCATTGTTGTTTTTTTCCTCCTGGAGAGCCCTGTTTATAGTGCTTCTGGGTCATTCGCATAGCTCACACAATCTTTTTCAAGGTTCCTATAAGCAGAACTGTCGCACAGTTTGTTCATATCTCACAACTTGTATGTAACGTGTAACAGCGGAAAAAAAACAACAAAAAAAACATGTCTGAACATTACATTTATTGGGAAAAAAAACAACATGTGAACAAAGAAAGCATCCTATGGAGAAAAGACAGAAATAGTGCAGTGGCTTTCACTCCTTGTTTTCTTCTGACAGTTTATTGACATTTCTTTGTAGCAGCAATTTATTTTATAACAGTCTGTTTTTTTTTTACATCCTGCATCAGACTCAACTGTGAATGTTGCTTTTCTGTGTGTAATCCTTAAAGGACAGTGCTGGTGTTGCTGTGTAGTCAACAAATCCCATAAAAGGACTAAAACCAACAGATTTTTCGTCTAATAACAGCGACAACAACAACCACCACAGGGCCACTTACTTTGTGTTTTTAAAGCATTCTGTCACATCTCATGTCCTATCTCAGCAGAGGAGTCGCTCAGTTATCATGGAGATAGTTGGGTTGTTGTCAAAAAAAAAAGATTTCATCTCACTTTGATTCTGAATTAATCGACTATTTTCTAAGGTCAAGAGAAACTCTCAAGCTCAGCAGTGTTTCAGTGTCAGTATTTTTTGACTTCCCTGCCCTGTCTGTGGCATTCAGCGTGAACGTACCGAAGATGTATGTTTTTCTCTATGAATTAAGAATTTTTTACAAATATATATATAGCTCCACTTAATTTCCTCAAGCAGCTGGGCACTGCAGTTTTCAGCAAGTGGTATTTAATCAAGCATTTATTTGGGTCTATTTTCAGCTGCAGATTAATACACATTAAGTCCTCTTGTAAATATTTAGAACAGAAAAATGTGGAATTGAATAAACTACAGTGCCCATGTTTATTGTAGCGATGGAACATGTCACTTGGTGAAACTATGTGTCTCATCAGTCTACTTGAATTAGATTCTAAGATTTTGGAGATGTGCATTACAGAGTAATCAGCTCTAAGACTTTGGCTGCACAGTCAACACTGCATGAGTAGGATTTGCTCATTGTTGGTTTTGGTCTTTTTACAGGGTTTATTGAGGAAAAACACAGGAAATCACCAGCGTTATCCTCAACAACAACAACAACAACAAAAAACCTCACCGAACACCACAATGTCCCCAGAAAAGAAAACACATCACAACTGGGCGGGCTTTAGGGGCCAAGGTCATTTGTCAGCCAGGCTCTTGACAGTTCTCTCCACTAATGAATGTACAACATCCTCCACTCATCAGGACCTGGAGGAGGGTGGAAATAGGCCAACTTTAAACACTTGAGATTCAAGAGATGTTCTGTCCGCGCCACACAAAACTCTTTATACGCCTGAGTGTGTAGCTGTGACTGCCTCGACTGACCGGTCTCATAAAAACAGGGACTTACTTCACCATGCCTGAACACAAGCTTTACTGTTTACTGTTTTGTCTGTTTTCTTGCGGGTGCACTTCTTCACAATGACGCCCACTAGCTGCCAAGGCGCGTCGCTTGTTATCGGTCTCGCTGATACCGAGGGATTTCGCGTGGCATCTTTTAATTGAAAGCCATTTGTTCAGCTCGCGTCGTCGCAGCTTTTAACACTGTTCACCTGTGGTAGAGGTAGAATATACTGCGGATACAAAGAACTGTTTTATGTACTGTGTAGTTTACAGCGTATTATGAAAGGAGCTGCAGTGCGCCTACAGCACTACAGCACCCATTTGATCAGCACCCCACCTGAGACACTGTATCTTCGCTGTCCCTTTTTCCTTGATATCTACATATTCCTGCTCACTGCTGCTTCAGCTTCCCCACATCAGTCCCTACCAGAGGCCTTTGGCTTTTACAGCGTGTTGTGCTGCCTGTCTCTCCCTCTTTTATCAGTCTCACGTTGCCCTTTATAGTTGTTCCTCTTGTATATGATGAATGTCATTGCCTTTGCCCTATTCAGTTAGCTTAACAGGGGCAAAGGGGCAGAATGTGGATGAATAAAACCGTCTGATGTCCTCTGCATTAAAATGCTGCTGGAGCTGCTGCAGCTCAGCATGTTGTTTGAATGTAGTCGGGGTAGGCCGGGCTCAGAGAACACGTTGTTGTCAGGTAGTAGTTTCACATTTTAGGGAGTAAAAATGTGGGTGAGATGATGATGTCTTTATGCTATGCTGATCTAAGCTTTTACAGAAAGATTAGAAACAGAGTAAACCAGCTAGTCAGGCTGTGTCCAGAAGTGAAATCAATTTTTAAAAAAACAACCTACCAATACCAGTAAAGCTCATTAATAAAAATGACACATTGTTGTTGGGAGAGAAAGAAAGAAAACAAGAGTATTTCTTCAAAATGTAAAACTATTTTATGTATGTTTTGAAAGCTAAGATTCTTCAGGATTTGAGGCACAATGATGCTGAACGTTATGGAAACCACTTGAGGTCAAAGCAGCTGTGAAATGTTTTATTTATATACACACTAGAAAAAGACCTGGAGCGGCCATTAAAAAAAAAAAAGCCACCAGTGTCTGTTTATGCCGTTGACCACTGTATAATTTTCTGATAGATGATCAGGCTGTTCGGTGGTGTCTCACGTTGATATTCACATTGTGCTGTATATTTCTCTTTCGTATGTCTGCCTTTCACTCACTTTAAATCACACTTTAGTTTCATATCATGTGTTCCCAAACATTCATTAATTCATCAATAATGCTGACACGATGGGAAAAACACATGAAAAACACCTCTGTGCAACTCATACATGATCACCTTATTCAATTAAAGACTTTTATATTATCAACGCACAGCTGTGGTTATTGATTGTGGGTCTTTGCTGAAATGTATCTACTTTTTGTAATCAAAAGGCTCGAGAGATGAGGGATCGAACGTGTCCTTAGCAATTGTTATAGACAGACTGCCTGACAAAATCAAGTGAGGATAACTGAGAAAGAACATTTGTCATTACTGAACTAAGGGCCTTTGTGCAGTCTGCCTGCAGCGCGATCAATCACGGCTCCATCTCGGTAATTGACTGTGTTGGGAGTGCAGGGTCGAACGGGAAGGAGGAGCAGGTCGAGTTAACGGTCTCCTCTCCTGTTGCACAGAAACAATCTGAGCCTCTCCAATGAGCCCACATCGTATTATGCTGTAGGTACAGTAACTAAGGACACTGACAATATAAGCTGCTCATGTCCCACTGAATAAAATATGACAGAACTTTACTAATAAGGCTCCAAGGGACTGATTTGTGTGGAACAGACATACAGTATGTCACCATATCCAGCCTATACATGCACATATAGCATAATAAAAAAGATAGATTATATACTCTATGAGATGTTTAGATTCAGTACACAAGCCTTGTTAAAGGCAGCTTCATCCACATGACAAAAAACAATGGTCTTTCTTACTTCGGTAGTATGTAGCCATGCAGATTTTTAACTTTACATATCCAGGTTTTGATATACTGCATCTGTCATTCAGATTTCTGCTTCCACTCCGCCTAGTGTCCTGAGGAATTGTATCCATATTGAACAAGTCCCCAACACACCATTTTTCATGTCCAAGGCTAACTTCCATTGCAAACACAGGAAGAGAGGTGCCATATATCTGCCAAGGCGGACGGCGAGGCTGTGCAAGCCGGGACGGTGGATGAGCATGAAGCATGTTGAACTGTATCCATGCAGGAGTGCAGAGTTTGTGTGCTGCCCCAGACCTACACTGAATGTTTGCCTTTTCAGTGACTGTAACCATGGTGTTTCTAAACATTAAATGCACACTAGTTGCCATGCACCAACATTGTGGGAAACAAGAATTTTGTTGGTAGAGGATGTAAAAAAGAATCTGTGGTTTTACAGTTGGTTGGTTATTTCTTTACTTTGTGAAACTGCCATACTGGAAGATTGGTTTGTCAGAATTTATTTACTTATTACATAATTTACAAAGGTTGAAATTAATTTATGTTGTCTAAGCTATGTCTTTTATGTTGCTGTTAGCTGTGTGCTAAACATTATTAGCACATATGCTGTAACAAACAAACATTAAGGAATGTATTTGTACTGTGATTATGCATCATCACCCTCCATGAAAAAATGAGTTCAAATGAATCTGAAGTGACTTTTCAAAATTCTGAGAAATCTCAAAACCTAGATAACTAAAATCAAAACAATCTACACAGATGTTGAAGGTATGTCTGGTAATTTGAATGATCATCATAAGTATACATTTCAGAGGAAATGCAGAGGACATACCCTACTCAATGTTTAGAACACGTACGTTTGTAACCCCCAAGAACAACATGAAAGAAGCACGTTTACTCACAGAAGCTTCCTGATGGTTCCTCCAACCCAGGTCTTTTTCTTCTTCAACATGTCAGACACAGATTTATGTAACTTGTTCTGTGTGTGCAGAAAATTTTGAACATGAACGCAAACCTTGCAGGAACACAGAGGAGCTATTAAAATCCAGGTGTTTGTAAATTAATTAAAGTGAAATAATGTATCATTGATGTCAACTGGTGCTTGAATTTTGCATTTTCCTTTACATAGATTTACATTTCACTATAAGTTGATTTAGAAAAAAGCACAAATTAGTGCATTAAAATACCAGAGTGTAGGAAATGGGGTGTTTGATGCTTAAATCTACACTAATGGCGATCATAGCTATTAAATCCTTTCTATGTGGTGGTATTGCTCACAGTGACACACACACGACTTCCAATTGTGCAGCCTCATTGATTTTTATGTATGTGTGGATGTTCCAGGGCCATGAATGGAAATGGTTCAATAAAAGGTTTTCATTACTGTATATTGCCACATAAGTTGTTATATAATAAAGTTTTGCAGGGTGAGCTGTGGCCAGCATGTCTCAATGCAAACTAAACCACCGACATATTATCTTGCTTTAAAAAAAACAAAAAACAAAGTAAAGTTTCCACAACACGGCCCTCTTTTCTCTGGTGAGGTGATTCTGTACAGTGTGTTATGCATTAGGCACAGATAGAGATCTCACAGTGAGTGAACCGCGAGAGGTACGTGATCGTGAACACGTCCTTAATCATATCATCTGTGCATCTGGCCCACCACCATATCGCAGCTG